GTCTCTCCACCCCCCACAACCTGTCATACTCAACCTCATAAAATTAACTTGCAGCTCAATCATGACCTGTCATGGCTAGAGCGATAGCCGTCCCTCTGGCTCGCTATGAATGTCAGAGTAAGAGGTTCCTCGCCCTCGACGCCCCGGATCATAGGGGTTAACTCTGGAGATGGTTTCCTGCTTTCCCCTTGTCGTGGGGACTGACTGCAGAGGCTTATCGAGGTCCCCCTCGGCCAACTACTGATCCTCCTCTAGATGCCACCCACAGCAAGTTCACAACTCCCAGGTACGTGGAACATACCTGAAGTGCGTTCCGGGAGTTGTCCTACTCCAAGCCCGCCCGTGACCGGGTTTGGCTTGTGATAAATTGGTGCAATAGACTTAGTGCGGCCCGCAAGCCCACATAACCACTACAACCCGGCTTATCCGGCACTTCTTGCCGGAACGTGTCTAATCTAATTATACAGTTCACTTTTGTACCGGAAATATTTCTCATGCTTGCTGGCAGAGCATTGAATAGCCATCTGATGTACATACAGTGTCGTCAAATCCATGTTATTAAATGATAAAATACATGAAATCCTTGCACTGTATCCATATTTCCCTTCTAGTGGAAAAATGACACGCGTGCCTAAAGAAAAACCTACGTAATATTAAGGCAGCGTCTAGGATGCTCTCGGACGTAGTTTCGAACCCTCGTCACGGCCCTTGTGGATTTGTTCATTCAAAATTACTTCTAGTTTAAGGGGAAAAGTTCATTTTTAGCCAAATACCAATAACAGTAAACCCAGTCTACCTTTCTGGCAGAGATAATAATAATTTATTTATGAACAGTACATACATAGTTGCAGTTACGGTACAAACATTGTTAGATTTAAAGATAGAGGTAGTACATACAATACCTAAAGCCACTAGTACGCTTAACATTTCGGGCAAAAGATGATCAGAGTACTTTACAAATTCTTAGAAATGTTATCAAACATTTTACATTATTATCATTGTTATCTCGTGGCCTACTACGATAACGCCTGTGTCACTTCAACAGTCTCTCATCCACAATGTGATCTTAGTAATATTCTTTACTGCTACAGTCAAACTAAGGCAACACAATACGGGTTCAAATCTTCAGTCTTATCTCGCGTCAGTTATCACATTCCTCAAGCTACGCTGCTGCTGCTAGTTCCTTCACGACACACTGGGAAGGGGGTAAGGGGGCAACGTGTCTTGGACCACGTCTCCCACCCCCAAACTACACCTCCCCCCTTCTCCTCACCCTATGCTTCACCTTCCCCCCCCCCCCCACCCCCCACTAAGCTACACCCTCCCAACCTAATATACATCTCCCCCTCAAGATATCACGATCAGATACCACATAAGATGGCCCACACCTCTTCCGACTTGCATGATAACCCCCCCCCCCCCTCCCCATACACACACTCCCCATAAACATACCGATATCTTTAATTTCCCTCCGTAAAAAATGCCGTGGACTAGCCTAACTAAATACGAAACGTTACCCACCAAACCTACCGGAGCCGATACTCATTAGTCCCTATATGCGTCAATATTAAGGGGTTTTTACGTTCCTTAAACAACCACAATTTGTACGTCCGGTGTCGACTGCGTAAGAATATTTAATGTGTTCAGTAAGAGGACGGGTTGACTGCCACACACAACCACTATCGCTAAATCACTTAATCTGAAATCTGTGCTCAGCTACAGCGCAGCAAATACATAATCTATAGTACGAACTATTAGCCAATGTACTAAAAACAGGAGTAAATTTACTAGAGCTTAAAATCGGCTTTTAAAGCACTTTAAAGACTCACACGAAGATAAACAGCAAACACTTCATGATAGTGTTTGCTGGTGTGTGCGCGCGTGTTAGAAATGTATATGTGGTAGACTTAATAGAGGAAAAACAGACTGGTTAGAAAAGCGGGGTCCAAGAGCTAACAGCTCAACTCTGCAGGCACAGTACAGTAAATACAGTAATCTCGATAACCTGCTGGCGGCACAGAATGAGGTGTTTAGAACTTCAGGTTGGGCCAGATCAGGTTGGGCTGTGCAGTTACCCGCGGGACTGCAGGTTCCAATCTTGAGCACTCATTGCATAATCTCTGAGCAATAACTGGGAGTCATCATCTCCACACTATAGTAGTACAATATTCTATCGTTGACCCTTCAGGCTTGCCGGCACGAAGTACACCAGGAGCTTTGCAATATATTATCAATCTGTGTTTTCGAGGATATCCTCATAATGCCTCCAATGTCCGCCAGTGTAGTGTGGATCACAGACTAGCCTATACCCGACAGACTAGCCTATACCCGACAGACCAGCCTATACCCGACAGTATCACTATATAACCTATGTGACACTAAAAATTTCGATCTCACAGGATAGTTAGTCAGAGCGGAGCACGTGATCACTAGCCTGCTCTGGTTATCAATAAAATTAGATCAGGTTAGTGGAGGCCAAAATCCTCCATAGTGATATATTAATGTATAATAACCGGAGCCAAGGGCAAGAGTGGAGGAGATTTGTAAGGGGGAAGGGAGGGGGGGGCACACAAGGGGGGCTAGTTAGTTCCCAGATATCCCTGACAGCTATAATTACACAGTTCAAGAATATTATCGTTTCCAAACACGTCCAAATTAAGAAGTAGTATTGAATATTGAAGGGAGTACTGAACGGCCGCAAGTGATCAGCTGCAGCAGATATACCCGTGCAATCTCCACCCTCTGTAGACACGACACACACAATTGAAAGCCAACCCATACTACGGGACACTAACAACAGAATGCTGGCTAAATACAAAAATATAAATTGAATATGTCAATCAGGGAACATTAAATCCAACCCCACCGCCTTGCCCTCATTATTTGAGGCCTGGGCAATGACCGGGCCGCGGGGACGCTAAGCCCCGAAACCAACCAACACCACCAATTCAAGGTATGCCCACCGTCAATGCCTTTAGAGCACTGCCTAAGACAGGTTCCCCCCAACCCTCCGTCTGTGGCGACCCTCAGAGAGAGAGATGAAGATTAAGCCATCCAAAAGGTGGCACGGGCATGAATAGCCCGTAAGTGGTAGCTCTTTTGAGCCATTACCAGTATCAAGAGCTGATACTGGAGACCTGTGGAGGTGCGACTACACCCTGCGTGACGGGAGATGTCTCCCGTCTGTGGCGACCCTCCTTAAGTCCCCCTGGCTATACGCACACCGTGCTAATGTGCGACCTGGCAATAGTGGGACACGAGACACTGCCAGCGAGACGTGACCAAGGTGGCCAGCCTCTAACAACGACCTTATGCCCTTTATTTGGATAGTTTTATTCATTCATTCATTCCAGCATGGGTGAAGGGGTAGATGGAGAGGGGCAGGTGCGAGCAGGGGCAGGTGGAGAGGAGCAGGTGCGAGCAGGGGCAGGTGCGAGCAGGGGCAGGTGTAGGTGTAGAGGAGCAGGTGCGAGCAGGGGCAGGTGTAGAAGAGCAGGTGCGAGCAGGGGCAGGTGTAGGTGTAGAGGAGCAGGTGCGAGCAGGGGCAGGTGCAGAGGGGCAGGTGCAGAGGGGCAGGTGCGAGCAGGGGCAGGTGTAGAGGAGCAGGTGCGAGCAGGGGCAAGATAATGCGGTGCCTCGTACCTGCCAGCACCATGCCACCAGACTGTGGGACAACCCTCGCAGAATACAAACACATTACATACTATTAACTACAAATTCCACACTAGAGCATAGAACAACTAAGATCATGAAACTGGGCAGAAATTCCTCAACTAATCTTCAGGTGGCTACTTCACTCCGTCTCGCCCCCTAAACCCCTACCCCCCCCGTCTTCCCCTCGTCATTCTCTCCCCCTCCTCCTCCCCCATCATCTATCATCGCCCTTGCCAGAGTGGCTGCGCCCCGTCACCTACTGCGCATATCCTCCTCCTCCAGCAGCAGCACTTACCAAAACCATTACAAATCGCAACTCTTGAATCGGCTCATGGCGTGAAAATGCGTTAAACCTTACCAGTATCCACAACTCTGACACCAGCTTAACATTAAAACTATTCAAAGTCTAGCATCGCAGAGATTAATTTTACTAGTTTGAGTTGCCTGGTCACCGCCTAGTACTGCATTAGCCGAAGAGTACAACACCGACCATCATTGATAGCATAAGGAAGGCACTCCCAAAGGGGCACCCTAAAAGGCAACAGCTACAAGTTCAACAAACCATAAGGTAGGACACACAACTAAAGATTTTCACCCATAGGATTATAGACCCATTGAAATCGCCCACCCGCCGAGGCACTATAAATACCAAAAAACATTGATTTAGATTAAAATTCAGCTGGATAAAATACTCATGAGTAATGGGGGGGGAGGGTGGACCTGTCAAGCCGCCAGCATTCTGCCCCCCGTCGACACCACTACACAGATGGTACCATTCTGCCCCCCGTCGACACCACTACACAGATGGTACCATTCTGCCCCCCGTCGACACCACTACACAGATGGTAGCATTCTGCCCCCCGTCGACACCACTACAGAGATGGTAGCATTCTGCCCCCCGTCGACACCACTACAGAGATGGTACCATTCTGCCCCCCGTCGACACCACTACAGAGATGGTACCATTCTGCCCCCCGTCGACACCACTACAGAGATGGTAGCATTCTGCCCCCCGTCGACACCACTACAGAGATGGTAGCATTCTGCCCCCCGTCGACACCACTACAGAGATGGTAGCATTCTGCCCCCCGTCGACACCACTACAGAGATGGTAGCATTCTGCCCCCGGTCGACACCACTACAGAGATGGTACCATTCTGCCCCCCGTCGACACCACTACAGAGATGGTAGCATTCTGCCCCCCGTCGACACCACTACACAGATGGCAGCATTCTGCCCCCCGTCGAGGGGCCCTCTGGTAAATTCAGATAACGAACCACTTTCTGCGACCACTACTGCCACACGCCAGACAGTTAAGCTTTCAGCGACTACCGCCGGTAACTTACCTAGAGTGAAGATGAAAGCTACGAGTGTATATGCTGCTGCTGAGCCCGAACGAGTCACGTCACATGTCCAGTAAATACCGGCTTCCAGTGGCAAAGAAGCTCTTTCTTGTCGAGCCCCCGCTGGCCCGGGCACTCCAACGCCTCTTCCAGCGACGCTGCGACTTGTATTTACACTTTAACTAGACTTCCACTGAGCAAGAACTCTGGCCACTGCTGGTCGAAGCAAGTGTCTCCTTAGTGTGGGAGCCCGGTCGACCAGCCGGACGGGGCCCCCCGCGGTTATCGCGACACGCTGCTTGATAATCACTGCTATCTTGGCCTTTAATCTCTACCTCGGTTATTACAGCCGGTATGTTGATAGACCTCGACCTCCCGACCCCTCCTCCCCCACCAAACACTTCACGTCTGTTTGATGATCGCCGCTTCAGCCCCTCATCGCACAAGATGCTGCCTCCACCTTCCCGAGTCTATACCCTCCCCTGTTACAATACCTTAATACAGAATTAATAAATCGCCCAATTAACTGATAGCCTAAAAGCTCACGATAGGTAGGCCTGGAAGCTTGATCCAATTGGGCTACAACAAATTATCAGATATAATTATCAATTTGAGGTCATGACAAAATTTGCAATCTTCGAATTTGCAAATGTTGCTACTCAAACCTGAATCTAAATCATTTATATATATTATAAACAACAGAGGTCCCAGGACAGAGCCTTGAGGCACTCCACTTACAACATTTTCCCACTCTGACTTGATTCCATTTATACTAACTCTCTGTTTCCTTTGGTATAGCCATGCCCTAATCCAGCTTAATATAGCACCCCCAATACCATGAGACTCTATTTTTTTAATCAGTCTTTCATGTGGCACTGTATCAAAAGCTTTGCTAAAGTCAAGGTATACAACATCGCAATCCTTACCACTATCAACTGCCTCAACAATGCTAGAATAAAAAGATAACAAATTTGTTAAACATGAACGGCCATTTATAAAACCATGTTGCGACTCAATTATTAATTTATGTTTTTCAAGATGAAGACGAATTTTATTTGCTATTATAGATTCGAGTAACTTTCCCACAATAGACGTTAGGCTAATTGGTCGATAGTTAGACGCAAGTGATCTATCTCCTTTCTTAAAAACTGGTATCACATTAGCAACTTTCCAAAACTCTGGCACTCTGCCTGACTCTATTGATTTATTAAATATGGTTGACAGTGGGTCACAAAGCTCCTCTTTGCATTCTTTAAGCACCCTAGCAAACACTTCATCCGGCCCTGGGGATTTGTTTGGTTTGAGTTTTACTATTTGTTTAAGAACATCCTCCCTGGTAACTGCTAAACTCGTCAACCTGTCCTCGTCCCCACCCACATAGACTTGTTCGGCTGAAGGCATATTGTTAAGTTCTTCTTTAGTAAATACAGATACAAAATATTTATTAAAAATACTACTCATCTCTTCATCACTATCTGTTATTTGACCTGTCTCAGTTTTTAATGGACCTATCCTTTCCCTAGTCTTAGTACGATATAACTGAAAAAAACCCTTTAGGATTTGTCATTGCTTGCCCTGCTATGCGAACTTCATAGTTTCTTTTTGCTTTCCTTATCTCTTTTTTAACATTTCTAACCAGTTGTACGAATTCCTGTTCTAAAGTGACCTCACCATTTTTAATCCTTTTGTACCAAGCTCTCTTTTTACCTATAAGGTTCTTCAAATTCTTTGTTATCCACTTTGGGTCATTAGTATACGATCTATTCAATTTGTATGGTATACTACGTTCCTGTGCTTTGTTTAGAATATTCTTAAATAAGTTATATATTGAATCCACATCGAAATCCCCATTTAAGTCACCTATCGCTGGGTTCATGTCTCGCTCCAAGACCGGCCCACACCCCATACCCAAGCCTTTCCAATCAATTTGACCCAAAAAATTTCTTAGGCTATTAAAATCAGCTTTTCGAAAATCTGGCACTTTAACAGAATTTTCTCCTACTGGTCTATTCCATTCTATGCTAAATCTGATTTCTTTGTGATCACTGCTCCCTAGCTCACTCCCTATTTCGATGTCATTAATTTGCGTTTCCCTGTTAGTTAACACTAAATCTAAAATATTATTTTCCCGTGTTGGTTCCTTAATGTGTTGCGTAAGAAAGCAATCGTCAATTAATTCTAGAAAATCTTCTGCTTCACTATTCCCTGTTTTGTTCAACCAGTTTATTCCGCTAAAATTAAAGTCACCCATGACATAAATACTGTTAGATCTAGATGCTCTAGATATTTCATCCCATAGATGCTTTGCTTCCATTCTGTCTAAATTTGGTGGCCTATATATTACTCCTATTATAATATTATTAGCTTTTTCGTTTAATTCAATCCAAATAGTTTCTGAGTGTGGCTCTGTTTTGATTCCCTCTTTGAGACTACATTTCAAATTGTCCCTAACATATATGGTTACTCCACCTCCTCGTCTAATATATCTATCTGTGTGAAATAGTTTAAATCCATATATTTGATATTCAGCTAATAGTTCTCTATTTTCTACATTCATCCACGTTTCGGTAAGTGCAATAATATCTATTTTTTCTGTGCAGACAAGAGCATTTAATTCGTTAATTTTATTTCTTAGACTTCTCGTTATGGCACGAAATAGTATTTAGCAATTATTATATATTTCGTCAGTGAATACATTTACCGTCTAAGTCTCTTGCAAATTAGTCCGAATGACACGGAGTGAATTTCATTAATATCTGGCTAAGACTGCCATGCAGGTGTGGTATTGCGCAAACTGTTCGACTGACCACCATCACAAGGTAAACCACGAGGGAGCACCGACGACCACGAGGGAGCACCGACGACCACGAGGGAGCACCGACGACCACGAGGGAGCACCGACGACCACGAGGGCTGGTGGACCGATCAAACAGCAAGAAGAGTCGATGAGAAAATAAAGTGGATTTTGCAGACAGAGATGCGGGATATTTACCTACTACACAAGTACAGCCAAGACTACTGACGGTAAAGTTAATGGGAATAAAATAGAATGCTAACCCTTCAGGAAAAGGCGTAGAAAAGATAAATAACCTTTTCAAACATCTGACGGAATCTATAACGGAAATGAAAGCTTAGGCTACATAGGCTAGGGTCCCGGTAGTACAGTCGGCTTCGTTTTCGACTAGATCAAGAATTCGTGGAGACCCCCAACAAATGAGGTGATTTGTTGGAGGCCAAACGAATCACCTCATTTGTTGGGGGTCAAACTGATCTGTGATGACGGCAGATTTCGTGGAAGATAATCCGTGTATAAGATATTTGAATGGTGTAACTAGTAGAGAAGACACGAGAGAACCGTGTTTCAAATGCACTGAGGTATGATAACAGCTCTTGCTTGCAGTTTCACTTTGAACGTTAACTGACAGCCCATATGAACCCTAGAATTAGAAAGGTAGTGTGTGTGTGGGGGGGGGGGGGGGTGAGTGAGTGAGTGCGTGCGTGCGTGCGTGCACATATACACTAAAAAATAGTGACCACAGTTTTCAACTTGGTCCCTTTCGGGTCTGGAGAAATGTAACAAGAGTGAACGAACATTAATGGAATGTTGAACTCTTAAGCAATCCGCCAACTCAAATCACTCGCTGACACATATATATTACATTAATTATATATATATATATATATATATATATATATATATATATATGTCGTACCTAGTAGCCAGAACTCACTTCTCAGCCTACTATTCAAGGCCCGATTTGCCTAATAAGCCAAGTTTTCCTGAATTAATATATTTACTATAATTTTTTTCTTATAAAATGATAAAGCAACCCTTTTCTCTATGTATGAGGTCAATTTTTTTTTATTGGAGTTAAAATTAACGTAGATATATGACCGAACCTAACCAACCCTACCTAACCTAACCTAACCTATATTTATAGGTAAGGTTAGGTTAGATAGCCAAAAAAAGCTAGGTTAGGTTAGGTTAGGTAGGTTAGGTAGACGAAAAAACATTAATTCATGAAAACTTGGCTTATTAGGCAAATCGGGCCTTGAATAGTAGGCTGAGAAGTGCGTTCTGGCTATTAGGTACGACATATATATATATATATATATATATATATATATATATATATATATATATATATATATATATATATATATGTGTGTTAGTTTATTATCATTCACAGTTAAAACAGACAAATGAGCAGCACCAGACAAGCGAAGGTGTTTAATCTAGAACAATAATTCAATTACAAAGTGTTTTTCGTCTCCCAAGAATTAAATTTGTCCTTTCAAAGACTGTCCCTGTTCCCTTTTGCCTAAAAACCATCAATCACAGTCTCTAACCCAGCGAGTACTTTCCCTGTATGTATGTATGTATGTATGTATGTACGTATGTATGTATTGCTATCAGCGTATGGCCTTAGACCAACACAAAACCTTCCTAGGAAGCTCTCAAACAGAGGCGATTGAATTCCACCTCATCTCAAATTGGATTCGCCACCTGAGGCGCCACTCACCACCACGACACACCTGCGGTTCTAACCGCAGCTATGCCACTTACACCGTCACCCACCTGGGCCGTCACCCTCCATGGTAACTCAGGACCTCCCGAATAACCATGAACCGTAAGTGTGAATAAAGGACAACAAAATCGAAGTTTACCTTTGTGTACCCTGCGGGAGAGGGGTAGACTGCCGCCACCTGTGGGTACTGCTGCCACAACAACAATGGCACCCGTCAAATACCCTGATAAAACACCAGCCCCGCACCCACAAACACGCCTCGCCTTGACTGACACAAACACACGAGTATGTACATATACAGGCGGGCACACACAGCCACACACGCACACACACCCGTATTTTCCTCAAACTACAAATAATATTACAAGTTAACTTGAGTTTTTGTGGCGGTGTTGCTGGCGACGATCTTCAAGTCTTTCCAGGAACTGAATATCTTATCAACAGTCGCGTAGCTCACAGTGACTCAAATATTTTGACGAAAGTTAAACAGCTTAAGTCAAACTAATGTACATCTTTCAATTTGCTCACCTACTAAGGACTCTGGGGACTGGGGGGGACGAACTGCCTTGTTAAGCGTTGTAGTCCTCTAGTGTATACTGCTAAACTGTAGCCAGAAACATGGCGAAGGGGCAGAGGTGCACGGGGACCTTATCTGATAACACACGCCAGCGAAGATAAGGGTCGTGAGACCACCGCTAAAACCTTACTAAAAATTTTTGATAAGTC